ACATACTGTATGTACACACACTGTGATGAGATGGCTTCTTCTCCCTCACTGCAGTAACATGTGGGCATAGATGTGTGATTGTTTGGGAAAGAGAATGACTTGAGAAGCCAAAGGACAAAGGGAGATACCTGCATTGTAAGTTTTATAAATTGTAAATGTAACTATATGTAACTGAGTCTGAGCAATGGTGATAGAGGCGAGAGTTTCAGGACTGTGTGATAGATCTGTGCTAAAATTTCTGTTTGCAGCCTTGTCCATCAGTGCCAATAACCGTCAGCCTTTGGCCCATGACTTGCCTTGTGAGACACTCCTGCAGGGTGAATTATGACACTGATTTAAAGCAAGTAATATACATCATACTGTCAGGCTCAATCACTCTGTCACACAAATGCATGCACGAGACTCGCATATAAGTGAGTTATGGTCCTGTTAGTGCTGTAGCTGTGACATTCTGGCTGACTTATACACTCCACTGAGAGGGACTGAGGAATCAATGATGCTTTTTTTTTATTTGGCCATAACATTTAACAGGGGCCAGGGTGCTTTCACATAACTTTCAATGTTATACTTATTGTATGGCTCCACATGAGTGTTGACAATAAGAAAGGTAGCTCAAGGTGGATGATACAGCATTTCCTGTGTGGGAATTAAATAAGATGAATCCAACGGGTATTTCTAAAGGGAAACAAGGGCATTAGCTGGAACTAGGCGACCTAAAGAATGTGCCAGATAAGGGCCACTACTGTGGCCATGAATCACAGTCGCACCAATACTATCACCAAGTCATATCATAAGCTTGTGTAGGTGCAGTAAGAGCCTGCAGCACAGCATTAAAAGCCCAAGTAAAAAAAAAAAAAAAATCACAGATTTCATCAGGGGCAGAGTACAGATTAATATCTTCCCTAATGTGCAGCATATGATTTTAAAAAGATCTCTAGGATAACATCTTGTAGCATTAACAGATGCTACAACAAATAGTGAGACATTTAAGCTAAAATTGCAGCTGCCTTCTCTCACTCCTAGGAGTAATGGGAGAGTGCACAGATTCAAAGAAATCAGCCCCAACAATAAAATCCTCTAAAGTAAGTCAGTGTTTCATATTCATTCATTCATTTTCTACCGCTTAATCCCTGAGCGGGGTCCCTAAGCTGCATGTCTTTGGACTGTGGGAGGAAGCCGGAGTACCCGGAGAGAACCCACGCAAGCACGGGGAGAACATGCAAACTCCACACAGAAAGGTCCCAGGTGGGGCCCGAACCTGGAACCTTCGCGCTGTGAGGCAACGGCGCTAACCACTGTGTAGCCACCGTGCTGCCTGTTTCATATTCAATAATGAAAATATTTTACACCATTGTGGTTAGAGGGAGATTTTCTAATCTAAATGTTGGATACATGCCAAAAATGTATGAATAAATGTTAAACCACTTTTATATGAATATCATCATATAAGGTTCAGGTCTATGCAGCCTCACCATTTACAATTACAGAATTATAAATATGGCCAGATCTTTGAAATCCTGAAGCCTCATGATACTGTACTTGCTGTGATTAAATGAATAGTTTTTACCATACTAAAGGAAAAGACTAAAGAAGCTGTGAATTTCTTGCAGTGGGCCTTTCTGTGTGGAATGTGCATGTTCTCCCTGTGGATGCTTGGCCTTCCTCCCACAGTCCAAAGACATGCAAGGTACACTGCTTGCACTGCTGCTATAGCTTCAGGAAACTTTTAATTTTGTAGCATGAGGTACAAGTGCATTTGGTTGAATATTCTAGTCTAGTATTCAATGAGCAGTAGCAAAAGTGTGCATGCATTTGTCTATGCATGAAAGCTCACTATGGTGAACGTTGGCTGAGAAAACAAATGCAGGCTATTTCAGGCCTCAGGGTCAAACTGCATGGCAACACAATTTCATCAGCACTCACAGCTACCCACCCCCAGTCTGTCCAGTCTATCCCACTCAATTCCCCTCCCCACTATCTCTCCATCTTTCTTGTCCATCCCTCTATTCCTCTTGGCAACAACTCACTGATTTAAAAAAAGGGCCTGACCCTATGTAAGCCCTTGTGACTCTCTGTCTGACCCTAGTGGAGGAACAAGTCTCCACAAAGCCAAAAACACTCACACGGTGATACCGCTAACAGCTGCAGTCACTGATCTTACTGAATGTGCTGAAGAATGCTGAATGGAGGCAGCAAATTAATAAGAAAACACACTCAATATCTTAAAAGATGCTGACACTGAACTATTCAGTGATGAGAACATGGTACATTTGTCAATGAAACAAGAGTCTGGCTACAGGATAACAGTCTATTTTATCTGTTCTGATGTCATCAACCGATGAGCACAAGTTCATGTCCATTTTATTTTCAGTGACATTTCAAAATTTGGCTTTAAATCTAAAATCATGGTTGGAAACATAACATATGTCACTAACCTTGGAGCGAGGCGGAGCACGGATGTACCATTTACAGTCGATGGCCTCGGAGGCACCAGCCTTCCCATCTCTGGTGATCTGATGAGACTCAACAATACCTTCTGGACCAACCATGTCATACTGACAGGCTGAAACATACACATATGCATAAACACACACGCACACATATACAGTATACACCTGCAGTTCAAGCAAACACATGAATTCACAAATATCACAAACACAAGCATACATGAAACAACTAGTACACAATCAATATGTAAAACTGGAGGAACTGAAAAATAAATAGGCTTGATTGAGATGAAAAACCAAAAGGTGCCCTGAGGGAGAAGGTGAGTGTGAATGTATAACCAAGTGAGACAAAAACAGAAGGAGAGAAAGGAAGAAATAGAGACAGAAAGAGGGGTATACCTACAGGGCAGAGGTGGGGGTACTCCCATATCTGCAAAGTCCGGATCTGAGGAGAAAGCAGAAGAGGAAACATTCATTTTTAAAACAGATTAATACAGGATGTTCACAGAGGCTAAAACAATGAAGGGTTACAATGTACTTAGGAAATTCCTGCAAAAAAAGCAACTGTACAAATAGCTCCTAAATTATTTTTGGCATCTTAAATGTTTTATGTCTTCTTGGGAGTCACCTGAAAGAAATATTTTGGCATGTTAGCTGTCACACATTTGTCATCTTATATCATGCCCTGAACTCCAAATCCTCCAGTCATATGTAAAGACATGTCTAAATTGCTCATGTGAGATGAGGAGAGCAAGTTCACCACAGTATCACTGGTCTTGTAAAACTATGTAAAACACTGACATTAGTGCTGCATTGGCTAAAATATGGAATCAAACAAGTTTATGGCAATTCATGCTTTGAATGTACATTTAGAGGATCAACATATGCAACATAGGTTTTCTTGGAGTCTCATTCAACATGTTAACATCTTAAATGTAATAATCTTGTAAAAGCTGGTAAAACCACAGAAAAACATCTGACAACTGTAGTTTTCCTGAAGAATAATGACCAGTCTAATTAAAGATGTTTGTATGTGTCCTGACAATAATGTTGCTGTCACATCCCTATTGACTGACAGTACTGATGACACTGCAAGTCCCAACAGACATACAGCAGGGACTTTCACACTAAATATGAGTAAAAGATGCTGTATGATTAAGTCTCATCTTTGTTCTATTTTGCAGTTTGCTGGGTCAGAACACAATAAAACTACAGCATAATAGAGCAAAAACAAAAACATAAAAGGCTTCAGAATTTTTAACAAATGAATAGCATCTATGAATCTAATCCTTTCACAGTCTTCTACATATTGAGAACATAATTTTTTTTTTTTTTACCAAAGTCAATCCAAGGCCAAACATTTTATCAAATGAATAAGATAGGGAAGTGTCTGTTAAACTTTTGCAAGTTCGCCTGAAGCAAAAGATTGTGTTTTTCTGTATAATTTTTCCATAAATTACATCAACAAGCCTGGCATTGCTGAGGCACGCTACAGTGGGTACGGATAGTATTCAGACCCCCTTAAATTTTTCACTCTTTGTTATATTGCAGCCATATGCTAAAATCATTTAAGTTCATTTTTTCCTCATTAATGTACACACAGCACCCCATATTGACAGAAAAACACAGAATTTTTGACATTTTTGCAGATTTATTAAAAAAGAAA